TGGAAGGGGGAGGGCGGGAGGACTAGGAAAAAGAGAAGAGTCTGGGAGGAGGGAGGACTGGCAAAGTGAAGTAGGGAAGAGAAGAGGGGAGAGGGAAGCAGAAAGGAGGAAAAAGAGAAGGAAACATAGAGACCAGAAGGCAAAAAGGTCCATGATGGTTAGACCTAAAGCAATCACAGAGGCAGGTGAAGGGGGACTGGAAGGTGGGGCAGAGGTTAACTTTTATACACAGAAAATGAAGGCCACACAGCAGAGAGACTGTCTCCTAGTGATCGGAGGGACACATTTCACAAAATCAGATTGCAGGGCTTCAACATCGTCTCTTTCAGGAAACTCCTCTCCCTTCTCCCTTCCTTCCCTGTCTGCATCTCTCCCTCCCACACTTGCTTTCCCCTTCCCTCTCTCACCTTTGTGTCCCCAGCATATTTTCCCCTGGAGAATTTGAGAATAAAATTCAGACACCTCCCCCCAAAAACCCCCACTCATAATAACCCCTTCCTTTGTCTCTATCCACAGAGGGTGCTGGGTCCTCCTATCTGAAGACTGGGCTGTTTGTGAGCCTCTGCACCTCATTTCAACCCAGTTTCTACTCTGTTTCCCTAAAGCCCCAGGCATTGTCGGGGTGTTCTGCTTGTATTTACTGCCACAGTGGGGCTGGTCAGTTTCCACTAGCACTGTCATCATTTTTGAGTCTTAGAGCAAAAAGAGGAAGCAGTCCTCATTGGCATCCACCTGCAGTCCATGCATTAGCAGAGAGAGAGAGAGACAGAGAGAGAGAGATAGAGGGAGAGAGAGAGAGAGAGAGACCCCTTGATATGGTCACTTATCCTTTTTGAGTTTCTGATTCCAAAATCTGATCCCTTGAAGGAAAGGCTCAGCTGGGCACTAGCCAGGGAGCATAGTAATAAAAGCCTCCAGAAACACAACCAAATGCAGTATCTATATATAGGAGCCAGATCTGTTTTAGCTACTTGCAGTCTAAAATGACACCCGGAAACAAACATTTCAGCAATATGTT